TCCCCTCTCTCCTGACCGGACTCCTCCGTCTCACGTCTGGGCTCGTCGTCCGTCTCGTGCTCGTCCTACCTCCCCTGTTCCGCATTCTCACCCTATGTTGCTTCGCTCTCACACGTCCCGCGCTCATCCGCTCCTCCCGTCGTTGCTCGCTGTGGCCCCGCCTCCGTTTTTTTACTTCCTCCGTGCCGCACGTCCCCTTGTTCCTTGTGTCCTTGCCTCCCTCCTTATCGACCCGCCTGTTCCTGTCTCGAGCCTTGACGCTCTTGTCGCTGTTGTCGCTAACTTCGCCGCTACACGCCTCCTTGACTACGCCACCACTCTGGTCTCTGGCCATGCCTGCCCTCCGTCCGCCGGGATGTGGCTGCCCTTGGCAGTGACGTCTTAGAGGATAGACAGTACGAGCTAGCTTTCCTGTCAGAGGTCGCTCCCCATCTCTGTTCCATGCTGCTAGTCCCTGAGGGTGACCCAGACATTCTGACCCCTCGCACCTACGCTGAGGCCACCACGGGACCCTGGTCCTCTCAGAGGATAGCTGCCATGGAGCAGGAGATGGCATCTTGGAGATCCACCGGTACCTTCGTCGACGCTGTTCCCCCAGCTGGGGTGAACGTAGTCGATGGCCGATGGCTCTTCAAGGTGAAGCGCCCTCCTGGAGAGCCACCTATCTTCAAGGCGCGCTATGTTGCTTGTAGCTTCAGTCAGCGTGAGGGGATTGACTTCTTTCAGACCTTCGCCCCGACCCCGAAGATGACTGCTCTTCGGGTACTACTACACATAGCAGCACACCGTGACTACGAGCTGCACTCACTCGACTTCTCCACAGCTTTCCTCCAGGGCAGTCTACATGAGCAGGACTTCCTGCGCCGCCCCTAGGGCTTCTCCAGTACCTTTTCGCCCTGGTTGTGAGTGGCTCCTTTGGCGCCCTGTCTACGGTCTGTGCCAGGCGCCCCGTTTGTGGCACGACATGCTGCGTGCTATACTTGCTGACCTGCAGTTCTTCCCGTTGTCTGCGGACCCCTCGCTCTTTGTCCGTTCCGGCCAGACTCCATTCTACATAGACAATCTGGTCTTTGCTACTGCAGACAGAGACGTGCTGGCCTCCGTGAAGGCAGAGCTGCTGAGGAGACACACCTGCACTGACCTAGGAGAGCTGCGCCACTACCTCGGCTTGCAGATCTCCAGGGACAGAGCAGCGTGCACCATCGATCACACAGTCACACTTGATGCGCTAGGTCCTTCTAGTCCAACATCTGAGGCAGGGGTCCGCAGAACAGTCAGCAAGAGTACAAACTAAACAAGATTAACTCAGGGCGGCACTACTTGTCCAGCCACTGAGACAAGAGCCACAAGGCCAGCCAAGATAATATAAAGAGTAGTACACAAGTCTGGGACCTAGCAAGTGAGGAGCTACTTGAACTAGACCAAGGTGAAGCGCCTTTGTAAAGATATCAGCTGTGTTGGCACCGGAGGCCAAGTGTACTACGCGGGCCTGGCGACGCTGCTGTAGCTCGCGCAGAGGAAGTACCGCAGCTGGATGTGCTTCGCTCTGCCCTCAAGTCTGGGCTCCTGACATAGGAGGATCATGGCTCTGTTGTCAGCGTACACGACCGGGGCAGAGCTAGGCCGCTCACGTCGACGAAGGTAATTACGTAGTTGAGGTCGGCCCGACCAACTTCTCGCGGGATGTGGAGTATATCGCTGTAGACTTTCTCGAGTGGAGTGTACTCTGGTGCGTTGGGGTTGTGATGCGACGGGAACGGTTTTTGAGGTAGATCTGTTTCCGGGCAGATAAAGCAGGTACGTCGTGGTCGTCAAAGTTCGCGTCCATCGAGTAGTAGAAGCGCATCTTTGTACAGGACATTCGCGCGGATCGTGTCGAATAGTCTTGAATTTCCAGGATGCCCTAACCTTTGATGCCATGTTTCTTTGCTTGCCTTGTGTCCCACAGATCAGCGGTACAGGTCTGGGTTGGTGTAGAAGGCGGAGACGGTCGCGGTGCTTCGATGGTGTTCACGCGGATGTGCCTTCAGTTGCTTGGCGTCGGTCGGTAGTGGCGCATCAACGGGTTCTTGTTCAGGCAGAGCTTCTTCGACGAGTGGTGCCGACGAAGGTCTAGCAACGGGACTTCCAGGAAGTTGGCTTGTCGGTGCTGCTCTTCTGCTGCATGCAATATTTCTGCTTCTTGTTCCTTTGCTTCTAGTTCCCATGCTTCCTGCATCACTGCTAATGCTCGAGTACTTTCTGCCCCAGGGATGGTGTTCGAATGCCACAAGCCATCGCGGTCGAACCCGGGATCGAGATCGGGTGGGTGCGTCCAAGGAGCGAAGGAGACGACGCCGTCACTGTCGGGGGTCCCGCGGTCAGGAACGAAGACTCCGTGCTTCTGAATGGCTCTGCCGATGAAGAGTTCGCCCTTCCCGTAGTAGATTCGGAACTCTCGATCGAAGCTATCACACTCCAGGTGAACTCCCTTTGACATTAGTTGGCTGGCACTTAAGAGGTTGTAGCCGAGATTGTCGACGACAAGTACTCGTGACATTTGTAGGATCGCGTAAGTCTCGCTTGACTGTAACTGAACGATGCCTTCCTTTCTTGTGCGCAGGTTCTGGTTGTTGGTGACGGTGATGACGACTTCTCGGCTCAAGGTCTTCTCTTGCTGGACGAAGTGTGTCGAAGAACACATGTGGTGTCCACAGCAGCTATCAAAAAACTATGTGTCGCGGCCAGACGGTTTGTCACGAGCGATTGCAACGTAAGTTGGGTTCGGTTGGAGCCGGGTTTGTGTCAGAGCGAGTTGTTGTCCGTCGAGGGAACTGTGAGGTGGCGAGTCAGGTACACAGAAATCCGTTTGAGCGATACAATTGACGATGTTCCTTGCGTCTTGTGCAGAGCGATTCGTCGGAGCTGTTGGACGCTGCTGGTTTGAAGCGACCAGATTCGGTGACGGACGTGACGCTCGGGGTTGATACTGCGAGAGCTGCGGCTATTGTTGCTCCTGCTGCTGCTGCTGCTGCCTCGAAAAGTTGAAGCGCAAGTGTCCCGTCGTGCGGCATCGATGACAATACAGAGGTGAGTATCGTTTCTAGTAGTTGTCATTGTTATGGTTGTGCCCGTATGCGTAGAACACGAATTGTTGACTTGGTTTCTTGGCATGTCTCTCTTTGTACAGGTCCATGTCTTGCTGATCGGCATGGAGCTCTGCACATAGGTGCATTTCGGAGATTCACCCATGAGCGTGTAAAAGAGAGCGCGTCGTGCGCCACTGTGTACCGAGGCGAGCGAGGACGACCGTAACGAATGAGTCTTCCAATAAGTGCCCTCCGCTTCGTAAGAGTTTGTCGCGTAACCCTCTGCAGCGATTGATGTAAGGGATTGCCTTTTCTCCTGGTGGCATCTGTATTGCCATGAGTTATGCCATTAGTCGACTCTGTGTCATGCTGTCAGTTACTTGATATACGCTCTTCAGATGGCAGTATGCGAGTTATGCTGAGTTGCCAAAGTTGCGATATGTCCGGATGCTCTGCAGCTCTGTTGCTGTCAGGTTGCGCAGGAGGATGGTGAAGGCCATCAGCGACTGATAAGTGTAGACTTTCTTCTCCTTACTAGTCCCGTTTGCAGGAAAGGGCCAAGAGCCGGTGAAGAAGCCGAAGATTTGCGAGTCGTCCATCAGCAACTCGAACCCGAAGCTCCAGGTGAAGAAGTCCTTCTCATTGAAAGGTGAGGATGTCTGTAGTTTCATGATGTTGTTGAACTCCTGTTGCATGGTGACGATGTGTAACATTTTGTCAGCTGTCGTTGAGTCTACTACTGGCGCGGGAGTCGGCAGGAAGGTGAATGAGTCTGGCGAAGGCTGGTATGGTTGATGCCGTTTATGTGGTATCCCTCTTGCATATGACGCGCCGTCGAGACTCATGGGGGCTGCCCCATTGTGGTTGTTGCTGTGTGCTGATTGAGCAGGTGCCGAGGGCTGCTCGTAGGTCGACATAAAGGAGAAGTAATTTCTCCATCAGATTCGGGTCTATGCCTGTGGAGGAGGCCACTGGTTGTGTGAAAGCTCTTGCATCTGCAACTGCCTCAGTCTGGAGTCCATAAACTGGGGGTGGAGAAGGGGATCCAGTTGAGGATCCGTCGCCCTTAGATGGCGACATGTCTTGTAATGTCGAGTTGATAACTGAATGTTTTGTACTTGATTCTTCAAACGAGTTAAAAACTCATTGTGGGAGTTTGTAACAGGAGCGTAGCTTCTGACAAGCTCTCAAACCATATTGGGCTGACAAAAGCCCTAGGATCTTTTCAGAATGTTAAGTCCTTGTAACAGAATGCTTGATAGCACAGCGGAAGTCTTGAGTTGGACCCTTGTACTGGTAGGTGAGAACAAGTGATCGATTATATCAAAGGGATACAATGCTTTATATAATAATACGATAGAATATGAAGAGTGTAACTGTTTTGCACGTCGAGGGGTACATTCCCTTTTACGACTCGATAAGGCAACTCGAGTAACCACCTGTACTGTAATATCGGGACGATTATTTATCCTTACTGTCGCGCTGACTCTTGACTCTTCCGATTCTGACTCTTGGGTTGCAAGGGTCAACGGTCTGCGACCGTTGCCCTTTTGTAACCTCTGTGAGGTGTCGTCAGCCTGTGTGAATCGTCGGCCGTACTGTAGCATTGTTGACTCGGTAATCCTCGCTGTTATAGTCTTCGTGTATTTCGTATACTCACGCGAGACTCCGGAAATGCCTTAACTCTTTTCATCATTTCGAGCACAAACAAGCATGTACCGTATATCATGGACTTATTTTACCCCTTAATAGACCTCAAACGTGTGTAAGTGTACCACGCCAACACTCGAGGCCTTTATGCGCTTCGAGTCGGCGGCATTCCCCTGTGCTTGCCGTCCATTACAGGCAAAGCAGATTCCCGCCTTTTCCCGCCTCCTTCCAACAAACTCCCTTGTCACCTCATCTTGAAGATGCTTTCTCCTTAAGGTGTGAGCTTGTGACCCTTGCGGCCCCCTAGATTCAGTGAGAGCAAACTGGGTGTCTTAGGTGTCTGACATCTGTGGCACGCTTTCAGACACAATATGCATTACTCGCACTAGCGCGTAGGACGCTGTTTCTAACTATAACTCGTAGTTACGTGGTCAAATAATTCATTGTCCCGCTTGAATCACCACGCAGGATTTGTCAGCTTCCCCCCGTTTTCACGAGCTTTCAAGGCACGACGCAAGTTCCCGGTATGGCGTGATGTGCGTCGCGTCGTTATCCCGTCAGTGCGCGGACAGGCCACGACGTCGCCGCGCGTTACTATGCCGACGAGTCGTCCCCTTGCTCCTCGCCGTGCACGCCTGCTTCGTCCTCGCTTCTCCCGCGACAGCTGGAATCTACGCCCCCCCGCGATTGACGCAAGACGAATCGACGGATGGCGTGCGCTCATGGAGCCACGTGTCGGCCGTCAGTTCCCCGACCAACGCAGCAGCCGGCCATCTGGCTCCCTCTCAACGTGAGTGAGAGTACGCACCGAGGCGTGCAGCCAGGGATTCTATCGACGCCGTCAGTTGATCCGTAGTTCATCAAGCATCATCTGATCTCAGCGTGCTTGCTAGCGCTCTATCAACGTCATTCTCTCTCATCCGAAGGTCTCTTCAGACTTCCGATACAATTCCGTCACATTTCAGCAGTCGATTTTTGGTTGCACCTCACAGTATACTTTTCATAAAATCGGAATCCCGCTCTGCTTAGGCGTGACGTGATCTCCGCTTGCTCGTCACGTGTCCACTCACCCGTTATCTCCCATCCTATCCCTTTCCCTTGCGACGATTCTTTCTCGCCTTCTAACTGATTATTTCCGTCGAATCTGCGAGCAGTGAGAGCGCTGCTGACGCTGAACCGCGTGTGGAAGGCGTGGCCCGGCAATGGCGCCAGGACGCCGGCATGTGCGCAATGGACGGGCGTCGCCTGCGACCACCAAGGCCAGGTCACCTCCCTGTGAGTCGCATTCCTGGTATTGGATTTCCTGACATTTAGATTCCTGGAAGTGCTATTTGTAAGAATCACATTCGTGTAAGTCACTACATGTCTCTATTAAAGCCAGATTATACATTTAAGGCGAAGATTTCCCTGTTATCGCCTCCTTGGTGCCCCGTGCAATACCTGTTACCCACCACGTCCTCCCTTCCAGGTCTCTACCTGACATGGGTATATCGAGCGTCATTCCCACTGACATCCGCTTGCTAACGGCTCTGCAGCAAATGTGAGTATAGCGAATGCAACCAGTGCATAGCAGCAGACGTAATCGTAGTTAGCACGCCGAATGTGCGGGAGCGAATGTGCCTTCAGCAAGTGTGCACCTTGTTGCAACTCCACTGTTCGCAAGGTGATTTATCTACGTCCTCCACTCCCTCCCCTCCCCTCTCTCCTCAACATCCCATCCGTTTCTTGCATGGTCTCGGTTTGGTTGGGATGGGATGCATGGCAACATCGCTTGGCATGGCACCACTTGGCTTGGTATGGCACGGCCTCGATTGCAGTGATCTGTCGTACAACGACTTCAAACAGGCCCTCCCTCTGGATGCGTTTGGTCAGCTGAAGCAGCTAAGAGCCCTGTGAGTCAGGTTTTCCGACGTCTCAGAGCCCTGTGAGTCATGCCGTCTCATCTTATCCCATCTGTCGTAATGACTCACCTGATCTGCAGCTTGTAACTTATTTCCCCCACGCTTTGTGCCTCCACCACTCCATGCCTCATGTCCGCATGCCCGCCCCCCCTCGTCCCATTGCATCATGCCCCCACGCCCCATGTGTGCATTATCTCATGATGTCCCATGCCCCATGTGTGCGTGCATCATCTCATCTTCTTTCTCCAGGAACCTCTCGTTCAATCTGGACCTGACTGGGTCCATCAACATGCTCACATCTCTTCCTCTGCTGCAGCAAGTGTGAGCTCGCCTTCACCCTGCCCTTCTCGCACGCACTCTGCCCTTCCACATGCACCCTGCCCCTCCCACATGCACCCTGACGTTTCTTTCCCTTGTCTTGCCTCCCCACCGCCACCGTCCTACTACATCAAACCATGTCCCATGCCCTTGCACATGCGTTTCTGGTTGTTTTCTTCTTCCGTTTGGTGGCAAGCCCTGCCATACTCGCCTGCCTCTAGCGCCAAGTCCCATCCACCCGCCTCCCGTCTCTCGATCTCTCTCTCTCAACTCCCACATCTCGCTCTCCTCTCTCCCTTCGCGTCCCCTCCCCAGCGACCTGTCCAACACTCAGATCGGTGGATCCCTCCCCTCCGCCATCTCCTCCCTCACCCGCCTTGGACACTTGTAAGCCCATGCCAAATGCATCACCCCTCTTTTCTTGTGACCAGCTGTAGTGAATCACGATTCAATTGGCCTTGTGCGCGCATTGTTCGTACAGGTTGTGACCAACTGTAGTGAATGACTTCGATGCCCCTTAACGAGATTCCGCTCACTGCACCCGTGCATCATTCCATTGTGCTCCAGGGATTTGACCCTCTCCCAGGTATCAGGAAGCCTCCCAGCCACCATGAGTCAACTCTCCACGCTCTCGTACCTGTAAACCTCGCCATCCCCTTCCCCCAGGATCCCCAACTTTCCCTTCATCTCATCCCAACGTTCCCAACGTGCACCTACACCGCATCGTTCATCATTCTCACCGTTTTCTACACCTGCACACAATCTCTCCCGTCTCCTGATGCCTCTCTAGTTCCTGCATCTCCTGTGCCCCGTGGCCCATCTTCTCCCTCATGCGCTCACAGCAGAACCCCCCCCTCTCTATGCCCCCTCACCCTCCCCCTCCCCACCCCAGCTCCCTGCGGCAGCTGAACAACCTCACAGGAGTCATGTCGCAGTACACTTGGCTCTCGCTCCTCACCAACCTGCACACTCTGTGAGTCATGTGCTCACCGCGAGTCAACTTATCACCCACCACCCATGATGTCATTGCCCTCCTGTACCATACACATGCTCTGGCCGTTATCTCCCCCCGCCCACCCATCGTGTCTGGTCCATCCCTCACCCCATCTACTCCCACCTCCGCTGCTGCCTCTCAGGGACATCACCAGTGCGCACGACATATCCGGGGACCTCTCCACCATGTCTCTCTTCTCCACGCTCGGCTCTCTGCGCCGCCTGTAAGTCCCTCCTGCTGCTCCTCTCTCCCTTCTCCCCTCTGCCTCGCGTCTGTCTGCAAGCTGCTGACCGAACAATCACACTGCGCCGTCTTTCCTTCCCAGCGCCCACCATCTCCCTCCACTCTTCACCTCTCCCCTTCTTTCCGCCTCCATCCTCCTGCTGGCAGCACCTTCAGCGACATGCACATGTGGGGCGAGCTGCCTGTCTCCCTTGCGCTCCTGCAGAACCTCACCTATCTGTAGGCCTTGCTGCACCCACCTGTAGGCCCTGCTGCACTGCACCCACCTCCACGCCCTACTGCACCCACCTCCACGCCCTACTGCACCCACCTCCACGCCCTACTGCACCCAACTATAAGCCCTCCTCCCCCTTCCATTTCTTGTGTGACCTCTTCTGCCTTCCATCTGCTTGTCTGCACGTGCATTCTGTGTGCCGTCATGTGCTTCTATGTGCTGCCCTTTCCATTGTCCCAGCTGCTGGTAGGTTCTGATCAAACTCTGTCACACCTTTGACGGCCCTTGCTGGTAAAAATCACACATCAACCGCATGTCCTCGTTGCTTCGCTGCCATCCCCTCCCTTCAGAGACCTGTCTTTTCTTCGTTTCAGGCAGCTTCCTTTCTGGCTCACAGCTCTTTCCGAGTTGCGATACCTGTATGTTCATGCTTTGCGTGTTTTTGGGGTTGCGGCAGTACAGAATCTAAGCGCAAGTTTGCATGGAACGACCGAATTGGCTGTGTAGGTAACCTAAATCATTTCTGTGCATTCACCCTCCATTTGTCATTGTCCGGTTTTGTGCAATTGCCCCCTTGTTCTTCGCACTCCCCTGTGTTCCCCCACTTACCACTTCCATCCTCTTCTTTGCTCCTTTCCCTCTCTCCTCCTTTCCATCCCGCCTCCTCTCTCCCTCCACCGCCTCCTCTCGCCACAGGGACGTGGCTCACGAGGCCAACCTGCGCACAGGGGCAGTCCCACAGGACCTGTCACGACTCTCACACCTTGAGTACTTGTCAGTGCTGCTACTTGACCTCTTGGCATTTCGCCATACTTAGACCACACGAGTTTCTGAGTTTCGGTACTAGGGAGGGACCCATGCCTGGACTTCATATAAAAGATTCTCGTATTAGTGAACAAGTGACTCGAGGAAAGAGATGGGTTGATGAGGTGTCAAAATGTAAGACTTGTAGGAAACAGTGGGCGAAAGAATTCTGACTTGTGCCTCAGGGATGCCCTTTTATCTCGCTTCTCTATCACCTTCTGCCCCCTGGATCGTGCCTGCAGTAAGGCCTATGGCAACGGGCTGCTTGGCTTCCTGCCAGAGTCGTGGGGGTCCCTCACCAACCTCACCATGCTGTACGCCACTTTGTCCGCGTTTTAAGGTGCCCTGTGTGCGCTAGTGCCCACCCACCGTACGACATCCATGGAAGCACTCTAATGGCAATTGACTTGCTGCCGTAGCATGCCTCAGATTGCAACCCAAAACCCCGGTTTCCACACCGTGTCCTCCTCATCCCTCCCATCGCCCCTCTCCCCCCATCGCCCCCCCCAAGATCGTCGCACCCCAACTCTGTTGTCATCCCGCCCTTCTCTCCCCCCCGTCTCTCCCCCCCTGTCCCCCCCCCCCCCCCCCTGGGTCTCCCCCTCGCAAGGTCGCTGGAGAACAACCAGCTCGTGGGGTCCATTCCTCACCAGTTCTCTTCCCTGCGCTCCCTCAAAACCCTGTGAGCTGTCAGCGTGCATTTCATAGGCCCATGGAAAGTGCCCCAGGCCCGTGGAAAGTGCTATCTTGTTGCGCTCCTGTCATGCCACTGTCGTGCAGTTTCTGCTGCCCTGCCACCAATTGTCTCGGCGTCACGCATGCGGCCATGTATGCATGAGCTGAGGTGTGCCTGTGCACGTGCGTATGTATGCATGTCACTGTGTACCACCACGCCCTTCCCATCCACACCCAGCAACCTCAAGCTCAATCAGCTCTCAGGCTCGCTGCCCGACGTCTTCAGCACCACCCTGGAGAATTTGTGAGTAGACTTTTGAGTGCGGGGCAATGCTTGCTTCCAGAGGCTGTTTCTCCACATATTGTTATTTGGTGCCTGACCATAGTGACATCCTGACTGCAGTGTCTGCCTGTAGGTTGTCCCCGTCGCTAATAATTGTGCATGGCTTCTGACTGTGCATGGCTGCTGACTGTGCATATCGTCTGACCGCCCCTTCAGAATGCTAGCAGCCAACAAGTTCGGGGGCAGCATTCCCTCTTTCGTCGGCCGCTTGGTGCTTCTCACTGACCTGTCAGTCCACCTGCTGCTGCTCTTACTAAAGCCTTTCCTGCACACCTCATTATCTTGCTGGTTCTGACTGAACTCCCTCCCAATAACCTTTTCACTCAACCGTTGGTCTGCTGTTACCCTCACCCCTCTCTGTCACGCCTTTCTGTCAACCCCCTCTGTTACCCTCTCTCTTCCCCCTATTCCACATCTCGCACACAGGGCGCTGCAGGTCAACAGCTTCTCGGGTGCCATTCCCCCGCAACTCACGGCCCTCACTGGCATCACAGAACTGTGCTCACCCCTTCCCCCGTGCTCTCTTCTCCTCCTCCTCTCCCTCACAACCCCCTCCTCTCCCACCCTCGTCTCTTCCTTGCATCTTGGCTCACTCCCTTTTTCTGAGTATCTGCTTCATCTGCCACGTAAGCTCTGTGGACTCTGAAATATGTCAGTCCGCTCAACTTCCTCTACTCGTCCCTCACTGTCTTCTCCCTCTCGCACCCCACCACCCGCAGCTATCTCATGGGCAACTTCCTCTCTGCTGGGCTGGAAGTGGTCAGCGAGATGAACTGGCTGTACCTGCTGTGAGATGAACTGGCTCTACATGCTGTGGGATGAACTGGCTCTACATGTGTGAGATATCAGGGCCTTATCTCTCTGCGATGGACTGGCTGGCCACCCCCAGATCGTGTGGTCGGAGATTGGCGATCAAGCTGAGTGCCTACTGTTCTCCCCGTGTCAGAATTGGTTGTTTTGAATCATAATGTGAAGGACCGAGACACCCGGTTGTTCCATTCACCCTTCTTCCCTTCCCTCGTCCTCATCATCACCCCACCCAACTTCCCACCCCCCAACCGTCCAACCCACCATCCATCCATCCTTCCTTCCATCCCCAAACAGCGTGACTAACAGCTTTGCTGGCTCCCTGCAACCTTCTTTCCCCCAACCCATGCTCCATTTCACCATCCATCACCCCCACCCAACTGCCCTCCAGCGACGTTACTAATAACAGCTTCTCTGGCTCCCTGCCGGCTTCCTTCTCCCGCCTCACCAGTCTCGATGCCATGTGCGTGCCAGGGTGGCGTCATGGTGTGATAGGATGGTCTTCCGTCTTCCGTCTTCCGTCTACCGTCTACCGTCGTCCGTCGTCCGCCTACCTCCTTCGGTCCGCCGACCGTCGTCAGTCATCCGCCGTCCGTCCACCGTCGTGCGTTGACAGTTGTCCGCCGTCCGTCGTCCGTCGTCCGTCTACCGTCTACCGTCTACCGTCTAACCGTCGTCCGTCTACCATCTACCGTCTACCGTCGTCTTTCGTCCGTCTTCCATCTTCCATCGTCCGTCAACCGTCGTCCACCCACCATCTACCGTCTACCGTCTTCTGTCTTCCGTCTACTGTCTACCCTCTACCGTCTACCGCCGTCTACCATCTACCGTCTTCGGTCTACCGTCTTCCTTCTTCCACCTACTGTCTTCTTTCTACCGTCTGCCTGCCCTCTTGATTCTGTCTTCCGTCTCTACGCTCCCCTGCATTTCATTCTTCCCTCCCCTTCTCTGCACGTCACATGTCTGCTTTCACGCTCCAGTGCACGGTACCATACATTGGCATGCCCTCATCCACTCCCCCCCGTGTCCTCTGCAGCAATCTTTCGTACAACAACTTTGGGGGAACTTTCCCCTCTGTCTTACTCACCCTCACACAGCTTGGGTTGATGTAAGCACTCTCTGTTGGTCGTTTTCCATTTTCCTGTGCTTGCTTACTTCCCTTTCTCCAGCCTCCACGCAAGTTATGTTACTCCACCTCCCATCTCACATTCCCTTGTCCCCTCGCCGAATTATCCTGCCCCTCCTTGCTGCTTTCTCCTGCCCTGCCTCGCCCACCCGTCCTGTGAGTGGCGTTTCTCTTTCCGCCCATTTCCCCCTGCGCAGAGACCTATCGTACAACAACTTTGGCGGTCCCATACCGCGCGAAATCACCGCCTTCAGTAACCTCATGTATCTGTGCGTCTCCGTTGCTTACCGTGGAATCTCAGCAGTGGTTAAAGAGGAAAATCTTAAGCAACCGTCTTCATTTGTGCATCTCCAATCATATGCCCCATAACCCATGCCCCATAACCCATGCCCCATGCCCCATGCCCCATGCCCCATGCCCCATAACCCATGCCCCATGCCCCATGCCCCATGCCCCATGCCCCATGCCCCGTGCCCCGTGCCCCGTGCCCCGTGCCCCGTGCCCCATGCCCCGTGCCCCGTGCCCCGTGCCCCATGCCCCATGCCCCATGCCCGTGCCCCGTGCCCCATGCCCGTGCCCCATGCCCCATGCCCCATGCCCCATGCCCCATAACCCATGCCCCATGCCCCATGCCCCATGCCCCATGCCCCATGCCCCATGCCCCATGCCCCATGCCCCATGCCCCATGCCCCATGCCCCATGCCCCGTGCCCCGTGCCCCGTGCCCCATGCCCCGTGCCCCGTGCCCCGTGCCCCGTGCCCCATGCCCCGTGCCCCATGCCCCGTGCCCCATGCCCCGTGCCCCATGCCCCGTGCCCCATGCCCCGTGCCCCGTGCCCCGTGCCCCATGCTCTTGGCCATTGCACGATGTTCCGTGCCATGCCGCCCACCCCATCTTCTCCTCTCACGCGCATGTACCTCCAGGTGCATGGATCACAACCAGCTGGTGGGTGAGATTCCTCCCACCATGCACCACACCCCATGCCGTATCCCCATTCCCATGCCATGCCCTCTCACCCCATCCCCCCCACGCCGACAGGTACATGGATCGCAACCATATGGTGGGCGACATTCCCCCCGGCCTCTTCCTCTCGCCCAAAATCTTTGAGCTGTGAGCGTGCTGTGCTCTCAGGTGGCAAACCTGAAATGGTGTGGCAAACCTGAGATGATGTGGCAAACCTGAGATGACGTGGCAAACCAGAGATGATGTGACAAACCTGAGATGACGTGGCATCTTGACATGATATTGGCTGGAATGGCATTGTGAAATAACGTCCGGCCATGATGTGTTCTCCCCTCACATGCCCCTCTCCCTCCACGCCCATGATGCGCCTCTCCCTCCACGCCCATGATGCCCCTCTCCCTCCACGCCCATGATGCCCCTCTCCCTCCACGCCCATGATGCGCCTCTCCCTCCACGCCCATGATGCGCCTCTCCCTCCACGCCCATGATGCGCCTCTCCCTCCACGCCCATGATGCCCCTCTCCCTCCACGCCCATGATGCCCCTCTCCCTCCACGCCCATGATGCCCCTCTCCCTCCACGCCCATGATGCGCCTCTCCCTCCACGCCCATGATGCGCCTCTCCCTCCACGCCCATGATGCGCCTCTCCCTCCACGCCCATGATGCCCCTCTCCCTCCACGCCCATGATGCCCCTCTCCCTCCACGCCCATGATGCCCCTCTCCCTCCACGCCCATGATGCGCCTCTCCCTCCACGCCCATGATGCGCCTCTCCCTCCACGCCCATGATGCCCCTCTCCCTCCACGCCCATGATGCCCCTCTCCCTCCACGCCCATGATGCCCCTCTCCCTCCACGCCCATGATGCCCCTCTCCCTCCACACCCATGATGCCCCTCTCCCTCCACGCCCATGATGCGCCTCTCCTCCTCCGGTCCTTGCCATGACTGCCAGTGCAGGCTCGGAGTGCTGATGATACTCGTGCTACCGTGTTCTCTCTCTGCTCTCTCTGTGCATTGCCCTGCCTGCAGGTCATTCGCATACAACAATCTGCAGGGTGCGCTCCCTCCCCAGCTCAGCACAAGCTCCTCTCTTGCCATGCTGTAAGTTGTAACCACACTCCTTGTTCAATTAAGTCTACTTGTTAGATGTTACCATGTGAATTAGTCTTACACAGTCATTTGACACTCTTTTACCAGTTGCGTTTGAGCAAGTTGTTCATTCCATCGTTCAGCAAGTTGTTCATTCCATCGTTCAGCAAGTTGTTCATTCCATCTTTCAGCAAGTTGTTCATTCCATCGTTCAGCAAGTTGTTCATTCCATCGTTCAGCAAGTTGCTCATTCCATCGTTCAGCAAGTTGTTCATTCCATCTTTCAGCAATTTGTTCATTCCATCGTTCAGCAAGTTGTTCATTCCATCGTTCAGCAAGTTGTTCATTCCATCTTTCAGCAAGTTGTTCATTCCATCTTTCAGCAAGTTGTTCATTTCATCTTGTCTTGTTCCAGTTTCCTCAGCCTCCCATCCTGCGCCACCCTTTCCTCACATCTCCTCCCCCACGTCACTGCAGCAAGCGTAAAAAGCTGCGGCCACAATACTCGGGCCCACCCTCCATCCCTCCCATCTCCTCCGCCCCACGCCACTGCAGCAAGCTCGAGGGCAACAGCTTCTCAGGGCCTCTCCCGGACTTCAACGGCTGGTGCAACTCCTCCCTCACTGCCCTGTACGCCTCACTGCCCTGTATGCCCTCGCTGCCCTGTACGCTCTAACACAATCCATGCCCCCCTCTGCTTTCCGGTTAACGCCCTGAGCAGCTGCCTGTTTTACCTGTCACAAACCCCACATTCCTCTCCTCCCCTCCTCAACCCCGCAGTCCTCTCCTCTCCCCTACCCGTCGCCTGCAGGTACCTTGGTTTCAACAACCTCACAGGCCCCATTCCCCACTCCATCAGCGTCCTCTCCTCCCTCTACACCCTGTATGCCTCTCTACACCCTGTATGCCTCTCTACACCCTGTACGCGCTCTCTACACCCTGTACGCGCTCTCTACACCCTGTACGCGCTCTCCACACCCTGTACGCGCTCTCCACACCCTGTACGCGCTCTCTACACCCTGTACGCGCTCTCTACACCCTGTACGCGCTCTCTACACCCTGTACGCGCTCTCTACACCCTGTACGCGCTCTCTACACCCGGTACGCGCTCTCTACACCCTGTACGCGCTCTCCACACCCTGTACGCGCTCTCTACACCCTGTACGCGCTCTCCACACCCTGTACGCGCTCTCTACACCCTGTACGCGCTCTCTACACCCGGTACGCGCTCTCTACACCCTGTACGCGCTCTCTACACCCTGTACGCGCTCTCTACACCCTGTACGCGCTCTCTACACCCTGTACGCGCTCTCTACGCCCTGTACGCGCTCTCTACACCCTGTACGCGCTCTCTACACCCTGTACGCGCTCTCCACACCCTGTACGCGCTCTCTACACCCTGTACGCGCTCTCTACACCCTGTACGCGCTCTCTACACCCTGTACGCGCTCTCTACACCCGGTACGCGCTCTCGGCCACCCCTTTTTCCCAACGCACCCCATTGCTACGCCTGGTCCCTTGCCGGCATGGAGACTTCTAACCCTCGATCTGCTCTCCCCGCTCTCCCGACACCCCTCCTTCCCTTTACCTTTTTTTGCCGTGCAGCACTCTGCAGGGCAATCAGCTCTCAGGATCAATTCCCTCCGGCCTTGCGGCGCTCAAGCAGCTCAACATGCTGTGAGCTCTCCCCCAAATTTAGAGCCATCTGTGCACATACCAATCTCTGCACGTATCAATCTCTGCACGCATCAATCTCTGCACGTATCAATCTCTGCACATATCAAATGTCTGCTCATCACGTCTCACAAGTCTCTGCACAAAGTTCTCCCTTTTTTTCAACCGCCTCAGTGCCACCTGGTTGCTGCACCTTTTCTCATCCTTGGTTCCCCAGCAGCTACATCGTTCATCCTCCTTCTGCCCTCTGCTGTCTCGGCCCACAGGTGGCTGGCAGACAACTCCCTCTCAGGCCCCCTGCCCGAGTTCCTTGGCGGGCTGAATGCGACCATACAGCTGTGAGTCTGCTTCACCGTGCTTGATGCCCCATACGTGACCCATGCACGCCTCGTGCCAACCCCATAACTACCCCCTGCATGCCTCGTGCCAACCCCATAACTACCCCGTGCATGCCTCGTGCCAACCCCATAACAACCCCGTGCATGCCTCGTGCCAACCCCATAACTACCCCGTGCATGCCTCGTGCCAACCCCATAACTACCCCGTGCATGCCTCGTGCCAACCCCATAACTACCCCATGCATGCCTCGTGCCAACCCCATAACTACCCCGTGCATGCCTCGTGCCAACCCCATAACTACCCCGTGCATGCCTTGTGCCAACCCCATAACTACCCCGTGCATGCCTCGTGCCAACCCCATAACTACCCCGTGCATGCCTCGTGTCAATCCCATAACTACCCCGTGCATGCCTCGTGCCAACCCCATAACAACCCCGTGCATGCCTCGTGCCAATCCCATAACTACCCCGTGCATGCCTCGTGCCAACCCCATAACTACCCCGTGCATGCCTCGTGCGTTCCCCATGCATAACTGCCACAGGCTGTTGGACGGCAATGCGTTCGAGGGGCAGCTGCCAGCGAGTATCTGCAACCTCACAGCGCTGGAAGTCATGTGAGAGCTTGTCGTGCATCGAATAAACACATCGGCATGGGTGCATGAAGGTGCACACAAGGTGACTTTTGAGTCGACTCAAAAGTCACATCGGCATGCATGGGTGCATGAAGGTGCACACAAGCATGCATGTCATTGTCTTTGTTCAGGATTTCATCTGCCCACCAGCTCAACCCTCGTACGCTTGTATGTGTGTAACCTAGTGTCTGTGTGTGTTGCATCCGGTGCGCCCGTCACCGCGTGGGTGCGCATGTGTGTGTGCCCCCCTTTGTCACAACACCTACAGAGGCGTGCGCAACAATCGACTCTATGGCAGCTTCCCCACCTGCTTGTTCGACTTCCCCGCCCTTAACTACGTGTAAGCCCCTTCCTTTGCTACCCTAGCTGCATGCTATGACCGCGAGAGTACGTGAAAAAGTATGCCATTACCGAAATTCTAAAGCCCAGTGTCTTCCGCTGATCCCTTGGGTACGGCACTTGGCGTTTCATCTCCTTGGCTTGACACTTGTCACGTCCACTGAACCCCCCTCGCAGCAGCATAACCAACAGCTCCTTTTATGGCCACTAACCCCTGTATCTCTCTATCTTTCTGTTTCCCTGTTTCCTCTCTACCCCGTGGCAGCGACATGAGCAACAACTCCTTTTACGGCCCCATAAACCTGGACTTTATCGGCATGAACCCCTCCCCCTCTCAGCTGTCCGGCTTGCCCTTCCCTCCCTCATTGTCTGTCCCTCCTTCCTCTCACCCCCCCCCCCAGCGACATGAGCAACAACTCCTTCTACGGCCCCATAAACCTTGACTTTATCGGCATGAACCCCACACCCACCGACGGCGTCAGCAGGCCTGCAGTCATCAACTTAGCCTTCAACTACTTCTATGGCGAACCGATAGTCTACGCAGGGGGCTTTAAGGCGTGCCCCACGCCCCGCGTCACTCGGATCAACATGTCCGATCTTAATACCATGGGGTATAGTGCCGGGGGAAATAAGCGCAGGGCTTTTACAGCGGGTCTGCAGTGCGTGCAGGCGTATGCTACAGTGCAGGCGAGCTATAAAGGAAACTGTCTGTCGCTCAATAAGCAGCTCAAGTGCGCCGTGAAAGAGGTGCAGAGGGGTGAGGAGGAGTGTGCAACGTTCTGCAGTATAACAGACCTGGGGCCGTGCAATGGGAGGGGGGCGTGTGTGCCGCCCACCCAGGGATCTACTGGCGAGTTCCGGTGCCTGTGTGAGGCGCCCTACGTCACTGTCACCATCGCCAACGGATCCACCTGCGCCCTCGCCACTGAGAGTGAGTTGTCTGCCTTAGCGGCGCCTCAAAAGTCAATCCAGTATGTGCTGCCGAGTTCAGGTGCTTGTGTGAGGCGCCCTGTGTCCCTGTCACCGCCCCCAAGGCTCCACCTGTGCCCTCGCCACTGCGAGTACGTGCCTTGCTTCGGCCACTTTCTCGGACGTTGCTGTGCTTCTTCCAGAATAATCGATTGTTTCAAGCTATCTTGTGAGGTGCGGCATGTGTGCCAATGCCTCCCACCTGCTCTCCTGCTCCAAGGCACTGTAATTGCTTCCCACTCCCCGTGCTCTCATGTCTCGCGGCCCGCCCTACCACGTCCTCCCTGTCAACAGCAGCCGTCGTGGGCATCTTCCTCAGCTGCTTCGATCGTGGGGCTTGCTCTGCTTGCTCTGAAACCCCTCTAATCTTCACTCTACCCCTGTGTCGTAACTGTACCGCAGCCTCCACGTGAAAAACAGCCGACAACAGCAGCCATTATGGGCATCTCCCTCTGCTGCTTCCCGGGGCCTGTGCCGCCTGCACTCAGAAAGCTCAGTACACGTCCTTTGTTCCCCCATCATGCTCTCATGCCTCGTGGCCCTCCCTACCTCGCAGCCACCTCGTCCTCCCTGTCAACAGCCGCCATCGTGGGCATCTCCCTCAGCTGCTTCGTGGGGCTCTCTGTGCTGGCAGCCGTGCTGCTCATCCTGTTGCGGCCCAAGAGGAGGAGTAAGTCACAAGGGACCAGAGCAAGGTACCATGCGCAATATTTCAAAAAGAGTTGCCAGACCAATCCAGTAAGAAACCCGCATGGCCCATGCCTCACATTCCTACCCCATTGAGAGAGAAGGGTGCTTTGACTGCCTGCTGCTATCGCTTTTCCTAACAGCCCTACAGCCTACTCTGTTCCCCACAACACCTCCTTTCCGCGAGCACACCCTGATCTCTCTCTCCCTGGGTGGTGACCCCAACCGCCAGACCCCTGACTCTGACCTGCCTCTGACCGCCAGAGCACTCCCTCTGACCGCCAGAGCCCTGCCTCTGATTGCCAAAGCCTTGCGCAGCATCCCTCGGGCGGCAACCCTTGGGCAGCATCTTTCAAGCAGCAACCCCTGGGCAGCATCCCTTGGACAGCATCCCTTGGGCAGCATCCCTTGGGCAGCATCCCTTGGGCAGCATCCCTCGGGCAGCATCCCTCGGGCAGCATCCCTCGGGCAGCATCCCTCGGGCAGCATCCCTCGGACAGCATCCCTTGGGCAGCATCCCTTGGACAGCATCCTTTGCGTAGCATGCCTTGGGAAGAATGCCTTGGGAAGCATCCCTCGGGCGACATGGCTCGGGCCCTCGGGCGGCATGCCTCGGCCGGCATCCCTCGGGCGGCATCCCTCGGGCAGCATGCCTCGGGCGGCATCCCTCGGGCGGCATCCCTGGGGCGGCATCCTTCGAGCGGCATGCCTCGGCCGGCATGGCTCGGGCGGCATGGCTCGGGCGGCTTGGCTCGGGCGGCATGGTCGGGCGGCATGCATCGGGCGGCATGCCTCGGGCGGCATGCCTCGGGCAGCACCCCTCAGGCGGCATCCCGTGGGCAGCATCCCTCGGGCGGCATGCCTCGGACGGCATGCCTCAGGCGGCATGGCTCGGACGGCATGGCTCGGGTGGCATGGCTCGGGCGGCATCCCTCGGGGGGCATCCCTCGGGCGCCATCCTTCGTGCGGCATGCCTCGGGCGGCATCTTTCGGGTGGCATGGCTCGGGCGGCATCCCTCGGGCGGCACCCCTCGGGCGGCATGCCTCGGACAGCAACCCTCGGGCGGCATCTCTCGGGCGGCATGCCTCAGGCAGCATCCCTCGGTCAGCATCCCTCGGGCGGCATGCCTTGGGCGGCATGGCTTGGGCCGCATGGCTCGGGCGGCAACCCTCCGGCGGTATGGCTCGGGCAGCATGGCTCGGGCGGCATCCCTCGGGCAGCATGCCTCGGGCGGCATCCCTCGGGGGGCATGCCTCGGGCGGTATCCCTCGTGCGGCAGGCCTCGGGCGGCATGGCTCGGGGGGCATGCCTCGGGCGGCATGCCTGGCCCTAAACCCCCCGGGTGGCATGCCTCGGACAGCACTCGTGAGCGGCATGCCTCGGGCGGCTATTAGAATAGCCTACTATATTCACTAGTCTACATAGATTTATTAGTCTTGGGTAAAGTTAAGCACTCCACTACAATTAGGGTGTAATAACCCTAATTGAAGGTTGGGTTCCCAATTTGGTAGGGTTCCCAATTTGGTTGGATCCACAATTATTTGGGACCCCCAATAATTCCCACTAGAATTATTGGACCACCAATAATCCCAACCAGAATTATTGGTGGGGGCCAATAATCTTGGCCAACTCCCAACAGACCCTTCCTTCCTCCCTTTTCTCACATTCCTATGTAAACCCTTGTGCTTTCCCTCTAATGAACTTTTCTAAGCTCACGTTTTCTCTCAGCAGCATCCCTTGGGCAGCATCCCCCGGGCAGCATCCCTTGGGCGGCATCCCTCGGGCGGCATGGCTCGGGCAGCATGGCTCAGGTAGCATGGCTCGGGCGCCATGGCTCGAGCGGCATGGCTTGGGCCGCATTCCTCGGGCGGCATCCCTTGGGCGGCATGGCTTGGGCGGCATTCCTCGGGTGGCATGCCTCGAGCGGCATCCCTGGGGGGGCATCCCTCGGGCGGCATGCCTGGGGTGGCATCCCTTGAGCGGCATCCCTCGGGCGGCATGGCTCGGGCGGCATCCCTCAGGCAGCATGCCTACGGCATCACCCCTCGGGCGGAATGGCTCGGGCAGCATCCCACGGGGGGCATTCCTCGGGCAGTATCCCTCGGGCGGCATCCCCTGTTGGAGATAGGCTGCAACTCGGTTGGCACAATTTTGTGTGTTAGTAATTTGTCGATTTTAGGACTAGGCATTCTCGTTAGGTTGGGTGTAGCCTTGTTTTCATCCCCAACCTATCCTAACCCAATCCATCCCAAATCCCCACGATTTGGGAGGATTCCCTTGGGATTCCCTCTAATTCTCCCTTATTCCTTCTCATCCTCTCCGTTGTCCGGTACTTAAGGATGTATGCTCTTGGTTATTCAATCAATCAAGTTCTCAGTTTCTGACATCCCCCGGGCAGCATCCCTCGGGCGGCATGCATCGGGCAGCATCCCTCGGGCAGCATCCCCCGGGCGGCATCCCTCGAGCGGCATGCCTCGGCCAGCATGGCTCGGGCGGCATGGCTCAGGAATCATGTCTCGGGTGGCATGGCTCGGGCGGCATGCATCGGGCGGCATGGCTCGGGCGGCATCCCTCGGGCGGCATCCCTCGGGCAGCATCCCTCGGGCGGCATCCCCTAGGGGCATCCCTCGGGCGGTATGCATCCCCTGGGCGGCATGGCTCGGGCGGCATCTCTCGGGCGGCATGCCTCGAGCGGCATGCATCGGGCGGCATCCCTGGGGGGGCATCCCTCAGGCGGCATGCCTCGGGCGGCATGCCTTGGGCGGCATGCATCCCTCGGGTGGCATTCTTCTGACAGCATGCCTCGGGCGGCATCCCTCGGACGGCATCCCTCGGGCGGCATGGCTCGGGCGGTATCCCTCGGAAAGCATGCCTCGGGCATCACCCCTCAGGCGGCATGCCTCGGACGGCATCCTACGGGCAGAAATCCCTGGGGCGGCATGCCTCAGGCGGCATCCCTCGGGCAACATCCCTCGGGGGCCATGCTTCGGGCGGCAGGGCTCAGGCGGCATGGCTCAGGCAGCATGGCTCGGGTGGCATCCCTCGGGCGGCATCCCTCGGGCAGCATCCCTCGGGTGGCATCCCTCGGGCAGCATCCCTCGGGCGGCATCCCTCGGGCGGCATGCCTCGGGCAGCATCCCTCGGGCAGCCTCCCCCGGGCGGCAGCCCTCGGGCGGCATGCCTTGGGCAGCATGGCTCGGGCGGCATGGCTCGGGCAGCATGGCTCAGGCGGCATCCCTCAAGTGGCATCCCTCGAGCGGCATCCCTCGGGGGGGATCCCTCGGGCGGTATGCATCCCTCGGGCGGCATGGCTCGGGCAGTATGCATCCCTCAGGCGGCATCCCTCGGGCGGCATCCCTGTGGGGGCATCCCTCAGGCAGCATGCCTCGGGCGGCATCCCTTGGGCAGCATGCATCCCTCGGGTGGCATCCTTCGGTTGGCATGCCTCGGGCATCCCTCTTCAGGCGTCATGCTTCGGGCGGCATCCCACGGGTGGCATCCCTCGGGCGGCATGCCTCAGGCGGCGTCCCTCGGGCAGCATCCCTCGGGCACCATGCTTCAGGAGGCATGGCTCAGGAGGCATGGCTCAGGCGGCATGGCTTGGGTGGCATCCCTCAGGCGGCATCCCTCGAGCGGCATGCCTCGGCGGCATGCCTCGGGCGGCATCCCTAGGGCGGCATCCCTCGGGGGGTATCCCTCGGGTGACATGCCTCATGCGGCATCCTTCGGGCGGCATCCCTTGGGCGGAATCCCTCGGGGGGCATGCATTGGGCGGCATGGCTCGGGCGGCATGCCTTGGGTCCCTCAGGCGCCATGCTTCGGGCAGCATGGCTAAGGAGCAAGGTGCAAAAAAACGGTGGTCGTTTTAAACGGGCCGTTTAATACGATCGTTTTTTACGGCATTTTTGGGAAAAAAACGCTGTTTTTTTGTTTGAGAAAACCTGTTAAAAAAAAACTTCTTTTTCGACTTTGACAAGCACAAGTCACTCCCTAAGACCTCTAGCCGTCAAGGCGCCCACAAATTCGCACTACAATGCAATGACCAGAGCTCTAACACCATACGCCTCCCTCTAACTAGCACCTACCCTCCCCCTACTCCTCCTCCCAGTCCTCGGCCTCCTCCTCCCCCTACTCCTCCTCCTACACCTCCACCTACCCTCCTCGTTCTCCTTCTACTCCTCCATTTGGCATCCACTTCCTAATCCTCCTCTTCTTCCTCTTCCTCCTCCTCCTCCCCCTGCTCCTCCTCCTCCTCTTCCTCCTCCTCCTCCTCCTCCTCCTCCTCCTCCTCCTCCTCCTCCTCCTCCTCCTCCGATTCCTCTTCCTCCTCTTCCTCCTCTTCCTCTTCCTCCTCCTCGGCACGCTTCCTCTTGCCCTTTTTTCCTCCGCTGCTCTTCCTAGCTCTCTTCCCTGCCCGGTTCTTCAAAGAGCTCTTCTTCTTACGCCCGGCCGAGCATCCAAACGTGCTCCAATCAATGGCGCACGCCACCACATCCTGTCCTTCCTCTTGCTCCGCGACCTCGGGTTCCACTGGGGGCCCTTGTGGCATGCTGCAGCCTTCCTTCAGCTTTCCTCAAGCAAGGTGAGCGTACAACTTGGCACGCGCCTCTTGCTGCTGGTCGAATGCTGACCTGGCGCGCCTGCTGAAGGCGACCGAGGTCACATCGATCATAGTCTTGGCACTGAGGTTGTTATGGTCGCGCCGCTGAACTCGAGCCATGGCCGACCACCATCGCTCGACCTCTGACGACGTGACCGTCTGTGAGAGAATTCTCACAGCCACCTCCTGCAGGTGTCGTACCTCCCCGCCGTAGATCAGCCACCACTCCGCCTTTGTCAACCTGCCGCTCTCCACCAGTGTGGATGCAGCCCACTTGCGTCCTTCCCCCCCAGTTTCCCCGCCCCCTTGTGGAAGGCCGCCAGCTGCGCTTGCAACAGCGTCCGTCGTCCGGGGTCGTCCTCTCGTGCCTCCAACACGAGGTCAGCCACTTTGCAGATCTCTATGTCACCCCAAACATCACCCGAGAACTGGTTTAGGGGGCTCAAAAGCCACCCTAACGCTTGGAGGGGGTTGTGCAACTGCCCATCCCACCTCCTCGCGATGATCCGCTTCACGTCGACCATGAATGCCGACCGATCCTTTGACTCGAGCAGTTTTGTCTTCTTCACAAAGAAGGTGGCTGCAGTAGCAGGATTGGGGTGGCGGGCATGCATGAGAGATGGTACGCGGGTCATACAATGGGCGTACAGCCACAACGCAAACACCTAGGCTAAAGGTAAGAACAGAGAGTGCGTCGCTTACCGGCCGCGCTTACCGGCCGCGCTTGCCGCCTCGTTGGTCCTCATGGTGGCCTCAAACATGAGACCATACAACTTGCCCATGAGCAGCGACCGCTTGTCCACTGCTCGCAGCACCTCATACACCGGAAGCATGAGGCGGAGGACGACGTTCACCGACTCCCAGAACGTGTCCTCCAACATCAGCTTCCAGATCTCGCGGCCCTCGTCGGTCCCCGAGACCGCCACCCCCTTCCATTCGGCGCTTATCACCATCCGCTGCAACTGCTCCTTCACCGCAAGGAACCGCGTGATCATGATCACCTTGGTTCCAAACCGCGTGGTTCCGGGCTTGACAAGCTCGAGCTCGCTGAAGATTTCTCAGAAGAGAGTTACGGCTGAGGCGCTGTTTTTAACCATCATCACCACTCGCTGCGCCTCCGACAGCACCTTGTTCACGACTTTAATCCTCCCCATGTCGTGCAACATGAGGTCCAAACAATGAGCAGCACAGTTGGTGAAGAACACGGCAGGAAAGCCGTCCTTCAAGAGGGAGGCGGCTTTCTTATTGTTACTTGCGTTGTCCATTACAACCTGGACAACGTACCTGTCACCAACCTCGCAAATTCCACGGCGTATCAAGCCCGCCAAGAAATCCCCAGTTTTTTTGGCGGTCTTCGAGTCCACCACGTCGACGAGCAGGGGCCCGCTGTCATTCTGCGCGATGACACACACGAGGGCCCGGTTCTTCAAGCAAGACCAACCGTCGACTGAGATGCTGCAGCCGACAGTTCTCCAAGTGTCCTTCAGGGGTGACACCAAGTCATTGGTGTCGGCCTTCAGCTTCTGCAGTAGGGGTCCAGAAACCATATACGCGAAGGGAAGCTTCTATTGCTTCCCAAACGCGATAGTGGCGTTCACGAACGCCTGCAATGCCGGGGACCTGGTGGGAACAGTAAAGAGGATCTTAGCGCGATTCCTGACTTGGAGGCGGAATGCCCAAGACCAGGAGCCCACAAAGCTTGGCGGACATAACTGGGGGGGCAGGTGGATGGGGAGGGACTCACTGGGAACAACGAAACGCCCAGTCGTTTTCCGCCACCGCCGTCGCCCACAGGTAATCCAGTCGCTGCCGCCCTTGCTGGTCCGTCAGCTCGCGAATGTCGAGCTGACCGCCGCGCGGAGCCTGCGTCCCGTCGACGGTCGACATGGAGCCCGGAATCGAAGCCGAGCAAGAAGAGCGCGTTGCCTCACCTTTGGCGCACAGATTCTGCGCGAATGCCGAGGTGCAGGCGGCGACGTTCTTCGCTTTCGCAGCAGGGGTGCCGAACATATGCTCCTGAATACTTCTCGCATTGGTCGTCACTGGCTGGTGGCAGTGAATGCACTCCGTCTTCAAAAGCCGGCCCTCGTCATTATAAAATCGCTTCACGTGCTCCCACATGGGAGAAGGGGTGCGCGGCATGGCGGCTAACCTACGACGGGCTCGCTTGTCCTGAACGTGCGCACTCGTTGCGTGGGCGAATGACCAGGTAAGAAATCTGCTAGCTACCTAGCTTAGATCGATGCGGGAATTCAGACACGAGTACTCACCTCTGCAGATGTGCTCCACGTTTGTAAGTGAGAGACATGTGTGGAGTCGTCAGAGACGTTTGAGAAAGCGGAGGGGAGGGATGCAAATTGGCGGGGGGGGTGGAATTTCCGCGACGCGACGCCGTCGCATGCGTGTCGCACTGTGCGAAATATACCCCTTTTGCCGGGGATCTGTACACCACATCGTTGGCGAAGCGGGAATATAATTCGCAACAGTGTTGCGAACTAGGTTCAATGCGCGGCTCGTAAGTTCGTTCGATGCGCGCCTCGGACACATTTCGCGACGACATGATTCCAACATTTTGCACACAACGAATTCGACTCGGTAAGAAACATGGACCCGATATACGTCGTCTACATGGTGGTGCAAAAAATACGATCGAAAAAAACCATCGTATTTTTGCACCAGCACAAAAATGCACTCTGACCGTTTTTAACCGTGTAATACGGCCGAAACCTTCGGTACCGTACCATACGGTCAAATTTTGAAAAAAACGTTGTTTTTTTGCGCCTTGCTCAGGAGGCATGGCTCAGGCGGCATGGCTCGGGTGGCATCCCTCGGGCGGCATCCCTCGAGCGGCATGCCTCGGGCAGCATCCCTAGGGCGGCATCCCTCGGGGGGTATCCCTCAGGTGGCATGCGTCATGCGGCATCCTTCGGGCGGCATCCCTCGGGCGGCATGCATTGGGCGGCATGGCTCGGGCGGCATGCCTTGGGCGGCACCCCTTGGGCAGCATGGCTCGGGCGGTATCCCTCGGCCAGCATGCCTCGGGCATCACCCTTCAGGCGTCATGCCTTGGGCGGCATCCCACGGGCGGCATCCCTCGGGCGGCATCCCTCGGGCGGCGTGCCTCAGGCGGCGTCCGTCGGGCAGCATCCCTCGGGCACCATGCTTCGGGCGGCATGGCTCAGGGGGCATGGCTCAGGCGGCATGGCTTGGGTGGCATCCCTCGGGCGGCATCCCTCGAGCGGCATGCCTCGGGAGGCAAGCCTCGGGCGGCATCCCTAGGCGGCATCCCTGGGGGGGTATCCCTCGGGCGGCATCCTTCGGGCGGTATGGCTCGGGCGGCATGCCTCGGACATCACCCCCCGGGCGGCATGCCTCGGACGGCATCCCCCAGGCAGCATCCCATGGGCGGCATGCCTTTGGCAGCATCCCTCGGGCAGCATCCCTCGGGCGGCATCCTTCGGGGGGTATCCCTCGGGCGGCATGCCTCAGGAGGCATCCCTTGGTCGGCATCCCTCAGGCGTTATGGCTCCGGCGGCATGGCTCAGGCGTCACTCCTAAAGCGGCACGGCTCGGGCAGCATGCCTCGGGGGGCACCCCTCTGGCAGCATGGCTCGGGAGGCATGGCTCGGGCAGCATCCCTTGGGCAGCATGGCTTGGGTGGCATGCCACGGGCAACATGGCTCAAGCAGCATGGCTCGGGCGGCATCCCTCAGGCAGCATGGCTCGGGCGGCATGGCTCGGGCGGCATGCCTTGGGCAGCATCCCTCAAGCGGCATGCCTCCGGGGGCATGCCTCGGGCGGCATCCCTGGGGGGGTATCCCTCGGGTGGCATGCCTCATGCGGCATACTTCGGGAGGCATCCTTCGGGCGGCATGCATTGGGCGGCACCCCTCGGGCGGCATGGCTCGGGCGGCATGCCTCGGGCATCACCCCTCGGGCGGCATGCCCCGGGCGGCATCCCCCCAGCGGCATCCCTCGGGCAGCATCCCCGGGGTGGCATCCCTCGGGTGGGCATCCCTCGGGCGGCATTCCCCGGGTGACATGCCTCGGGCGGCATGTCTTAGGCGGCATGGCTCGGGCGGCATCCCTCGGGGGGCATCCCTCGGGCGGCATCCTTCGGGTGGAATGGCTCGGGCGGCATGCCTCGGACATCACCCCCCGGGCGGCATGCCTCGGACGGCATCCCCCAGGCAGCATCTCACGGGAAGCATGCCTTTGGCAGCATCCCTCGGGCAGCATCCCTCGGGCGGCATCCTTCGGGGGGTATCCCTCGGGCGGCATGCCTCGGTAGGCATCCCTCGGGCGGCATCCCTCAGGCGTTATGGCGCCGGCGGCATGGCTCGGGCGTCATTCCTGAATCGGCATGGCTCGGGCAGCATGCCTCGGGCGGCACCCCTCGGGCAGCATGGCTCGGGCGGCATGGCTCGGGCAGCATCCCTTGGGCAGCATGGCTTGGGCGGTATGCCACGGGCAACATGGATCAAGCGGCATGGCTCGGGCGGCATCCCTCAGGCAGCATGGCTCGGGCGGCATGGCTCGGGCAGCATGCCTTGGGCGGCATCCCTCGGGCGGCATGCCTTGGGCGGCATGGCTCGGGCCGCATGGCTCGGGCGGCATGCCTTGGTGGCATGGCTTGGGCAGCATGGTTCGGGCGGCATCCAAAAACAGCATGCCTCAGGCAACATGGCTTGGGCGGCATGCCTCGGGCGGCATGCATCCCTTGGGTGGCATCCTTCTGGCGGCATTCCTCGGGCGGCATCCCTCGGGCGGCATCCCCCGGGCGACATCCCTCGGGCAGCATGCCTCGGGCAGCATCCCCCGGGCAGCATCCCCCGGGCGGCATGCCTCGGGCAGCATGGCTCGGACAGCATGGCTCAGGCAGCATGGCTCGGGTGGCAGGGCTCGTGCGCCATGGCTCGGGCGGAATGACTCGGGCGGCATTCCTCGGGCGGCATGCCTCGGGCGGCATGCCTCGGGCAGCATGCCTCGGGCGGCATGCCTCCGGCGGCATCCCTCGGGCGGCATCCCTAGGGCGGCATCCCTCGGGCGGCATGCCTTGGGCAGCATCCCACGGGGGGCATCCCTCGGGCAGCATCCCTCGGGCGGCATCCCTCCGGCAGCATGCCTCGGGCATCACCCCTCGGGCGGCATCCCACAGGCGGCATGCCTCGGGCAGCATCCCTCGGGCGTTATGCCTCGGGCGGCATGCCTCGGGCGGCATGCCTCGGGCGGCATGGCTCAGGCGGCATGCATCGGGCGGCATCCCTCGGTCGGCATCCCTCAGGCAGCACTAATCGGGGGGCATTCCTCGGGCGGCATGGCTCGGGCGGCATGCCTCGGGCGGCATGCCTTGGGCGGCATCCCTCGGGGGGCATGCCTCGGGCGGCATCCCTCGGGCGGCAGGCCTCGGGCAGCATCCCTCGGGCGGCATGGCTCGGGCGGCATGGCTCGGGCGGCATGGCTCGAACGGCATGGCTCAGGCGGCATGCCTCGGGCATCACCCCCAGGGCGGCATCCCTTGGGCGGCATCCTTCAGGCGGCATGCCTCGGGCGGCATCCTTCAAGCGGCATCCTTCAGGCGGCATCCCTTGGGCGGCATGGCTCGGGCGGCATGCCTTGGGCATCACCCCTTCGGGCGGCATGCCTCGGGCGGTATCCCTCGGCCGGCATGCCTCGGGCAGCATCCCTCGGGCAGCATCCCTTGGGCAGCATCCCCCGGGCGGCATCCCTTGGGCGGCATGCCTCGGGCAGCATGGCTCGGGCAGCATGGCTCGGGTGGCATGGCTCGGGCGGCATGGCTCAGGCGGCATGGCTCGGGCAGCATGACTCGGGCGGCATGCCTCTGGCGGCATCCCCAGGGCGGCATCCCTCGGGCGGCATGGCTCGGGCGGCATCCTTCCAGCGGCATGCCTCGGGCATCATCCCTCGGGTGGCCTCCCTTAGGCGGCATCCCTCGGGCGGCATCCCTCGGGCAGCATCCCTCGGGCGGCATGCCTTGGGCGGCATGCCTCGGGCGGCATGGCTCGGGTAGCATGCATCGGGCGGCATGCCTCGGGCGGCATGGCTCGAGCGGCATCCCTGGGGGGGGATCCCTCGGGCGGCATGCCTAGGGCGGCATGCATCCCTCAGGCAGCATCCTTCGGGCGGCATGCCTTGGGCGGCATCCCTCGGGGGGCATCCCTCGGGCGACATCCTTCGTGCGGCATGCCTCGGGCAGCATCCTTCGGGCGGCATCCCTCGGGCGGCATCCCTCGGGTGGCATGCCTCAGGCGGCAACCCCCGGCCGGCATCCCTCGGGCGGCATGCCTTGGGCGGCATCCCTCGGTCAGCGTCCCTTGGGCGGCATGCCTTGGACGGCATGGCTCGGGCCGCATGGTTCGGGCGGCAACTCTCCGGCGGTATGGCTCTGGCAGCATGGCTCGGGCGGCATGCCTCGGGCAGCATGCCTCGGGGGGCTTGCCTCGGACGGCATGCCTCGGGCGGCATGCCTCGGGCGGCATGGCTCGGGTGGCATGCATCGAGCGGCATGGCTCGGGCGGCATGGCTCAGGTGGCATGGCTCGGGCGGCATCCCTCGGGCGGCATGCCTCGGTCATCACCCCTTGGGGGCATGCCTCGGGCGGCATCCCACAGGCGGCATCCCTCGGGCGGCATGCCTTGGGCGGCGTCTCTCGGGCAGCATCCCTCGGGCGGCATGCCTTGGACGGCATGGCTCGGGCGGCATGGCTTGGGCATGCATCCCTCGGGCAGCATCCTTCGGGCGGCATGCCTCTGGCGGCATCCCTCGGGCGGCATCCCTCGGGCGGCATCCCACGGGCAGCATCCCTTGGGCGGCACCCCTCGGGCGGCATCCCTCGGGCGGCATCCCTCGGGCGGCATCCCTCGGGCGGCATCCTTCAAGCGGCATGCCTCGGGCGGCATCCCTCGGGCGGCATCCTTCAAGCGGCATGCCTCGGGCGGCATCCCTCGGGCAGCATCCCTTGGGCTCTTGCCCCTCCATGTCTCTCCCTTTCCCCAGGGCGGTGGAAGACCTGGACGTGCGCCAGGGATTCTCCACAGTGATGCCTCAGGCCTGGTTGTCGTTTCCTCTCAAGCCCGTATTCCATCCCCTCGCACCCCCTCCCCCCTTCTCCCTCCTGTACACCCCACTCGGCCTCTCCCCAAGGCGGTGGGACTTCCTGGACGTGTGTCAGCAGTTCTCTCTCGGCATGCTGCGCGAGGCCACGGGCAACTGGGCGGAGAAGAATGTGCTGGGGGAGGGGGTCTTCCTTCTCGCGCACATTCTGATCTTGTTCCCCCAACCCTCCCCCACTCCTTTTCCCCCACTCCCCAGGGCGGTGGGACGACCTGGACGTGTGTCAGCAGTTTTCTCTCGACATGCTGCGCGAGGCCACGGGCAACTGGGCGGAAGAGAACGTGCTGGGGGAGGGGGGTTTCGCCGTGGTCTACCAGGGGGTCAGCCCCACCACCGGGCAGATGTGGGCTGTTAAGCGGATCACCCTCATGTCGAACGACTTTGAAACAGAGGTGAGGAGGCTTGTAGCGAGTACAGAACTGAAACCGAGGCTGATGGGGAGCCTTTCACCGGTGCTTCTCTCACCTTCGCTCCACCTTCAATGCCCCCCCTGCTCTCTTAACGCCTCTCCCTTTCAACTGTCAGCCGTCTTGTCACAACCACACCCTCATATCACACCCCCTCATCCTACACTCTCATCTCTCACCCTCATCCCCC